GGCATGGGCGAGTTATCCCATGAAGGGGAATTGTGAGGTGGGGATCATTGGGGAGATGGAAAGGCAGGGGTTTGTGTCTGAAAATACCACCACCCTTTTCCTGATGCTAGGATCACTTGATCACTGCATACCTTTGAATAAGGGATCAGTCCCTGCCCTCTGGGTGTCTGCAAGCAATCCTGACATGTTTTGCATTTTGGGTTCCACACGTACCCCCTTACACCTAGTTGAATGCCTATGGCAGCAGGATGAGGCTTTCAGTGAGCATTAATTGCACATTTAACAACCCATAACATGGACTGAGGCAGAGGTGGGATGTTAGGAAAGTGGTTCTAACTTGCTGTCTTACATTTTGATCAAATGCCCCTCTATCACCAATCATGCCACAGAGGAGAGCAATAATTTCTACCACTTGTGAGTCTACCTCACCCTATTTCTCTCTCTTGTCACTGTCTGAACACTTTTGCATGTATTTACCTAGTCTTCATCTCTCCCTCAGTTTACTGTTTTAGTGTGCTTCCTTGATTTATGTGGTTCTTCTCTCTGTCAGTCTCCTCTCTTTCTGGTTCTGTCTGTTGATATTTCTTGTCATGAATTGTGTTTGGGGCCAGAGGAATGCACTATATCTCTCTTTAGTTACACTGATCCATTGACCACAAGATAAATTAATGTTTTACCCAATAATTTATATCAAATGGAAATTTTATCTATAGTGTGTTCAGAATTAAAAGATCTATCAGCCAGGTTTCTTTTAGCACGGAGGAGAGATGGAGGGGTGGAGTCTAGAGGGGTCAGTATCTGGGTTTGGGGAGAGAGGAAGGAATGCTTAAACTTAATGATGAATGTTGATGATAAAGATACCTTTGTTACCCCATTTGCAGTAACTCCACAGAGGCTGGTATCCTATCATCAAGTCCCCCTTTATTTACAAGTGCATAGTACCTGACACTGGAATGGCTTTCTCAGAGTGAACAGAACCCCTGACATTCCTGTCAGCCAGCGCTCCCTGATTGGACCAGGTTAACAGCCCTAATCAGTGAACTCATATTCTATGACTTCCACCTGGCTGACCTCATTACAATCACTACAATTGATTTGAGGGATCTTTTTAAATCATGGAAACAATGGAAAATGGGTAATAACAAATTGATCAACTGGTTGCGAATCAAAGGGAAGATGGACAGTGGGCTGTTAATTTATTAAAGCCCATTTTCTACATTTTCTGAGTGTTATAATCACTGCTTTAAGATCAAGGACTTTATGGAGAAGGAAAGTTTTTGTTTGTGTTCAACTCAAAGGGGAGGGTGAACTTGGTCTCATCTAAAATTCAGGACTGCAGCACTCCAAGTAGTGTTTGAGCCTCCAACCTTTTAATTCAGGATAAGGATTGCTCCAGCTGAGCTATGGTTGGCAAATCCATCTCATTTGTAAGATGGCACCTGTGGCATTGGAGCAATCCCTGAACGCTGCACGTTCTTACGTTTTCAGAATCTCACGCTGTGAAAAATGTTTGCGTTAGCTAAATGAATCAATGTCTGTATTTCAGTAATAGTTTCTCCTGGAGTTTCATAAAATTTTGAGAATGAAGAGAGAAAGAACTTACTTTCTCGGGTTGCTCATGCATAAGGGCCTTGTTTAATGGAATTATTCCCATCTCTTTTTCCACTGACATCCTATTTGAAGCTTGAAAATTGTGATTTCTCTATCCAAGCTGAGAGAGTGGGGACCTGTTAGAGTTGGGGGTACAGCTATTACAACTGAGCCCCATGTTGGCCATTGCTGCCTCAGAGCTCCTGACCCTAAGATTTTAGCTTGCATCTCCATTTGGGGTCCCAGTATTCCATACTTCAACTAGGACTTCCCAAAATATGGTGGTAAAAAAATGGGAATCTTTAACAGAGCAGCATTTCCTTAACACTGCATTTTAAAACATTAGGAGAGGTCTTCTGCTGAAGTGGGAGTTGAACTATCAACCTTCTGGCTCAGTAGTGACAGTTGTACCTGCTGAGCCATAGCTCCTCCTTGATGAAGTGCTGTCTCTAAATGTGAGTTCTTTACTAATGGTATATGCATGAACCACCATGTGTACTGGCAGTAAATTTGCAGGATCTTTTACTGGCGTGAAAATTAGTTGGCATTCACCTTGTATAAAAGAGAAATACAACGCAGCTGTACTAATGTAACTGGTGAATACAGCAAAATGCTTTATGGATTTTAAAACCTTCAGCCATCAGGAAGAATAACAGCAACATTGATCTGAGTGATTGCTGGCAGCTTTCGACCCCCACTTCAGATGGAGCTGATTGTAAAGTGAAAGAAAAGCAATATGTTCAATATTGCACACCACCTCTTTTGTGGAATTTTTCATCTGGATTCTTTCATTTAGGAATGTGCAAGAGCTCATTGGATTTATTATTTATTACATCAGGCTTTGGGGTGGGATTGCAGTGGTATTGTAGGATGCAGCATCAAGCCGTTGTATGCTTAACCTAGCAATGTTCCAATTGAAGCTTAATCACTGTCTCTCTTCTTTTTAATGAGACACTGCATCTTACTCAGGCAGTTGTTTTCATTTCAGCTTTGCTGGTGCTGGTGGAATACAGATGTTGTTTGGCAGAGTCTGTGTTGATTGTGTTTTTTTGCCATCAGTTGTGTATCACAGGTTGCCAGATGTTTGTCAGCTTTAGAATGTTGTCCTTAGTAAAATCTAACAAGCTTTACAGTCTGTGAGCTGTGGGACAGTTTTTTTTTTAATTGTAGCATCTTAAATCATGATGTGTAGGATTTATAGTGGACAAATTGCCCTGTCCATGATAGTCAATCAATGCCAGTGCGGTCAACAGTATGCTGTCTGGTACATGTATCATCTATTGTTGTTTGCCCTTCCATAGTATTGTCCCCATATAACCTAGTGTCTACTGCATGCTCACAGTGTTTTAACTATTTATATGATCTTTCCCTTCAAGGTCAATGTTTAAGTACACTATGTGTGAATCCAAACCATTTTAAATTCCAGAGATCAATCAGTTGCATGTAAATTTCAGGCTTCAAGTTGAAAGAAGTTAGATTTTTATGAAATTACTTTGTATATCTAACAATGTTTGACACGTGGTCTAATCATTATGTAGAATTGGGTACAGTAGCACAGTGGTTATGTTACTTATCCAGTAATCCCAAAGTCTGGAATAATAATCCAGACAGTTGGTGACCATGAAACTGCCAGCTTACTGTTTTCTGAAGAAGGGTCCCGACCCGAAATGTCAGCTTTCCTGCTCTTCTGACGCTGCGTGGCCTGCTGCGCTCCTCCAGCTCCATGCTGCGTGATTTCTGACTCCAGCATCGGCAGTTCTTGCTATCTTTCAGCTTACTGTCGTGTCCTCATAAGGAAGGAAGCGTGCTGTCCTTGTCCAATCTGGTTGTCATTTGAGCCCAGACCTACAGAACTGTGGGTGACTTTTTCCTGCCCTCAGAAATGCAGTAGGATGCCTCTCAGTTGTATCAGAGTTGCTGTGATGGGCTGCAGTGATTTGAGAAGGTGGTTAGCCACCACTTTTTCAATGAAAATTAGCGATGACCAATAATTGCCAGCCTTACCAGGAACACGAACATCCCAAGAAGGGGGAAAAAAAAATAAAAGGCTGCAAGCCTCACATTACAGAGTAATTTTGCTATAGTTGGCAGCACTCCCTCTGGGGTTCAAGGCCTACATCTCTGACAGTAGAACAGTACCGAGGGACTGTTGCACTGTCAAATGTGTCAGTCTTGTGCACTAGACTTTGACCCAAAGTCCTACCTGTTTATATCAAGGATGTATGTGAATGTGGAAGGTCTTGTAGTGATCATTTAAAAGAAGCAGATTGCATTATCCCCACTGTCCCGGCCAGACCTAATCCATCAAGCAACACCATCCAAAGCAAATGCTAATTCCATTTCTGGTTCCTTGCTGTGAGTAAATTATTATTTCTGACTGTAACCATGATAAAAACAATTTAAATTTATACAGATTTTTAACATTTTAAATATCCCAAGACACTTCACAGGAGCCTTCTAAAGCATAATTAGATGTTGAACCATATTAGGTGCTATTAACACAGATGGCTAATATCTTGGGGAAAGAGGTAGGTTTAAGGAGAGTTCTATGGGAGGACAGGGAGGGATTTGCAGAGCTTCGAGCTGGTGCATTTGAAAGCATGACCACTAATGGAGCACCAATCAATATCTGGGATGTTCAAGGAGCCAGGATTGAAGGAATGCAAATATTTGGCAGGGTGGTGGGACTGGAGAGATTGTAGAGATTGAGACCAATGAGGCAATGATTGTCCCTAAGCCCTTCTCCTTAATTAGTGATATTTAAAGGTTGAGAAAGAAATCGAGGGAAGGTGGAGAAAGAAACTGGGTGAATTAGTGTCAAATCGGGTACAGGAAATAAAATGGGTTAAGAAAGAAAAGTGGTAAGGAAATGTAAGAACTTGTTTTAACATTTTAAGTTTTAAAATCTCTAACAATGATTTACTATCTCTCGGAATGAAAATAAGTTAATTTTTCACCTTCTATGCTGCGAAGTTGATTGACATTGCATTGGCAATGATCACGTGAAAGAAAATGGACTTAAGCTAATTCCTTAATATTTTGTGGTGTGTTTAATGTGTAAATTCAGAAAGTTGTTCAATAGCTCGGAGACTAAGGGCAGGAAAGCAATTGTGTGTGGCAAATAGCTGAACAATGTAAATCAGTTTTTGAATATTGCATCTCACACCATTCTCTTAATCCCTTGAAATTACTGGTCAATTTATTCATTAATAGGGTCTGCATCATGAACAAACTGTTATTTTCCCAGCACAATTCCATCCAATAGGTTTTGTAACATGAACACAAGTTGTATTTTGCTATGGCAAATAAGCACAGAGAACCTGGGACAAAATTGATTGCTTTCAGTGAACATCCATTTTCCACTCTGCCTCACCTCTCTCTGTCTCTCTCTCTCGCTCTTCCTTACACAGGTAAACAAGGCTCTGAAACAGAAATCTGATATTGAGCACTATCGGAACAAATTACGCCTGAAGGCAAAGAGAAAAGGGTATTATGATTTCCCAGAAGTAGAAAATAATCAAGCAATAATGGAGAAGCAGAGGAAATTGCATGAGAAGGTACAGATGGAAGCTGAAACCCAGGTGTCCTCTGCATTCACTGAATCTCGAAACAGGTAAGAACAACGTAATACAATAAAAGTTCAGGAGGGTGGGGAATCCAAATTGCTTGAAGAATTAACAGTAACCCTTTGAAATTTGAAAGAATGTTGGAAGCAGATTCAATAATAACCTTCAAAACGGAATGAGATGGAAGTTTGGAGGAGAAAATATTCACTGTTATGGGCAAGGAGCAAGGAAATGGACAAATTAGATAACCCTGTCAAAGAAACAAGATAAGGGTGATGGGCCAAATGGCCATCTCTGCACCGTATCAGTTCCTAATTCCGTACAGGCAGTCCCCGGGTTGCAAATGAGAGCTGTTCTGGAGTTCATTCACAAGTCGATTTTATACGCAAGTTGGAACACGATGCAGAAGATTATCAAATAGTGGCTCACAAGTACAGAAGAAGTTTGTATGTTGGATTTTTAAAATTACACTCCTCTATGGGATCACATTACTAAAGTACAAGTGTTCATAAGTCAGATGTTCATAAATCAGCAGTCTCTTGTACATTACTTGACAAACTGAAAGGAAGTTCCTCAGTATCAAATTTTAAAGAAGCCACAACCTATTCAAAACATGTTAGCTGTTGAGTAGAAGAGTTACATTTAAGGGAAAACAAATCTGTGCTTTTTAATGTCACTTTTCATGGTCTTGGAATGTCTGAAAGTGCTCTCCAACAAATGAAGTATTTCTGTAGTTGCTGCTAAATATGGAAAACACAGCAGCGATTCTGCACACAGCAAACTCTCAAACGCAGCAGTGTTATAAAAAGGAGATAATCTCTTTTTGAAAAATTGATTCAGGGATAAATATTCACAATGGAGACAGCTCCTCTGCTCAACTCGAAGTAGTGCCATGTCCACTTGAGCAGGGCAACTTTGATTTAATATTTCATCTGAATGATAACACTGCCACTGTACTCCATACCGCACTAGAATGTCAGCTTCATAGTTACATTCAGCTCTCTGGAGTGATACTTGAACATTCTAACTGAGAGTTGAGGGGGCCAGTCACCAAACCACAGGTAAAAACCAAAAGAACTGTGGATGCTGTAAATGAGGAACAAAAACAAAGTTGCTGGAAAAGCTCAGCAGGTCTGGCAGCATCAGTGAAGGAAAAAAACAGAGTTAACGTTTCGGGTCCGGTGACCCTTCCTCAGAACTGGTTAACTCTGTTTTTTCCTTCACAGATGTTGCCAGACCTGCTAAGCTTTTCCAGCAACTTTGTCCACAGGTAATGCCTAAGAGAAGGGGCCTTCATTGTCTTATTCCTAAAACAATCCTCTTTGCTTTGAAGGAAAATTAATTATAATTATTTTTACTTACAATATGGTGGCATGGGAAAATTAACAAATAGCTTGCATTGCTTAAAGTGCAGACAAGTAATAACGGTATTCCAAAAATAGAAAAAGTATTGACATATGTACCTCTGCTTCCAAAAGTGGTGGCTAAAATTCACATGGTTTGCAAGATTGACATTTGTAAATCATTTTTGGCAGGGCTGGATGATTAAAAGCTGCCTTGAATCAAAATAGAGCAACTGTAAATCAGTGAACTGAGATGGGCTTCCAGCTGAACTGACACAAATATTAAAATGGGATGATTGAAAATACTTCCAAAATTCACCTTGGAGATATTGAAAGAACATTTATTTAATTGCACACAACCAACAGACACCAATTTGAGAAGTGTTTTAAGTCTCTTTCTCTCTATATGCTCACACAAGATTCAATTTCCACCCCCCCCGCCCCACAAAAATATGCAGCAATATGTTCTGCCTTGACCTTAAGATTGCCTGAGCTATTTGATGGATGTTTTAGTAAAATGTTTCCAGTGATGACAGATTCAGCTCTTTGTCTAGACTGCAGAATCTAGGCCTGCTCGCTTCGGCAGAGCAGAGAAGGTTAAGAGGGGGTTTGACAGAATTGTTAAAAATTGTGATTGATGTAGATAAACAAAGGGACAGCATGGTTAGCACCACTGCCTCACAGCGCCAGGGACCCAGGTTCGATTTCAGCCTCAGGCGACTGTCTGTGTGAAGTTTGCATGTTCTCCCCGTGTCTGCATGGGTTTCCGCCAGACGCTCTGGTTTCCTCCCAAAGTCCAAAAATGTACAGACTAGGTGGATTGGCCATGCAGAATTGCTGCATAGTGTTCAGGGATTGTAGGCTTGGTTCATTAGCCATGGTTCATGTGGGGTTACAGGGATTGGGTGGGATGCTCTTTGGAGGGTTGGTGCAGGCTTGATGGGCTGAATGGCCTTTATCTGCACTGTAGGGAATAAATGATTCTGTAAGGTGTTAGTGGCTTCATAGGCCTCCAACCCAAAGCACTGTTAGTTTATGGTTCCACTCTAGATATGCACTTCAGAAGAATATGCTATTACTTGGCAGGGAGGTTGTTACCATTGACCAGATATTGAACTGGACTAGCTGTGTAGATACCGTGGCTACAAGGACATGACAAAGACTGGGAATTCTGGGGTGAGGAACTCAGCCCTTGATTTCCCAAAGCCTGACCGCTATCTGTAAGGCACAGGCCAGGAGTGTGATTAAATACTCTCCACTTGCATTGATGAGTGCAGTTACAATGTTAAAGAAACTCAACACCGCCCATGACAAAGCAGCCCACTGACTGGCACCACCTTACATGTGGTAGCAGTGCATACCATCTACAAGATGCACAACAGCAATTCACCAAGGCTCCTTCAATGACATCTTCCAAACCTATTGCCTCTGTGACCTAGATGACAAGGGTATCAGGTGTGTGAGAATACCACCATGTTCCCCTCCAACCACACAATATCCTAACTTGGAACTATACCACTAATACTTCACAGTTTTCTGGTCAAAATCCTGGAACTACCTCCCCTAAAGTCCTATGTTGTACCTACCAGATGGACTGCCGAAGCTCAATAACGTGGCTCACTAGCCAACAATTGCTGGCTTTGCTCAGTCCACATCCTATAAATGAATCAAATTCTGCAGTCCTGCTCTGTCAGAGTTGCTATCTTTTGGATGAGAAAGTAACCAATGGCCCCATTTATACACTGTGGTGGCTGTGGGAAGCTCTAAAACAGTGCTTTGAAGAAGAGTAACTGAAATAAATCCCTGCCATCTTGGGGAATATTTAGCCCGCATTCAACATTGTGAGAAAGCAGATGGTCTGTTCATAATCTCACTGCTGTTTGTGGGAACCTGCTGTGTGCAAATTGGCTGCTGTATTTTCTATGTGACCACAGGGACTATGTTTCAAAAGTCCTTAATTGATTGAAAGGCACTTTGAGAAATTCTGAGATTGTGAAAGGTGCTAGAGAATTATAAGACTTCTTTTTAATGGCTGACAACTAGAAAAGACTGATTTAAAATGATTGGCCAGAGAGTCAATTTTTATGCGATGAGTGCTTAGAATTTGAAATGTGCTGCCTGATAAAGTGGTGGATAAAGATTCACTATTGGATTTCAAACTGAAATTGGATAAATACTTTAAAGGAGAAAATAAACTCGAGGTGTTGGGCAAAGAGTAAGGAGTGAGGCTAATTGTATTGCTCTTTGAGAAAGTTGGCATGGACTCGATGGTCTGAATGACCTCTTTCTGTGCTGCTATGATTTCTATGATATTCTATGATTCTACTGTTGGTCATCCTGACTATGAAGGGAGAAGGACAGGTCAGGGATTTGTTGTAACCATGTTGCAACCCCATCTCTAGTGATGTTTCCTTTTGAATGCAGCAGCTTCCACAAGTTGCACATTGCTGAATACATCCTAATCTATGACCAACAAGGCAGCAGTGTGAAAGCTGAGCAACCGAAAGGGTGGGCATGTGGACCATTTGACTTTGACTTTTGAAGAAACCGAAATATAGGGACAGGCTGCCATCACTCAGTCCTTCAGACCATTAAATTAGATCATGGCTAGTCTACATTGTGACTCAGTGGGTGGGTGCTCACATCTGAGGTTGACAGTAATGGGTTTATCTATTTTTTACACAGATTTATATTAACTTTTAACAATGCTAAAGGGCACCTCCAAAAGTGTTTCAGGTTTAGATACCTTACCATTCCAAAGCGGCTATCCATACAAATCCATAATGTTAAGACCTGCTCTGAGTAGGTATAATCTGCACGCTGTCTGGGTTATACACGAAATGGAATTCTAAATAAGATTTGAATGGAGGGAACAAGTGATGTAAATGGTCAGCTACCTATTCGAAACCATGCACGCAAGAACCTTGGCCATCCTTCAGTCTAACACCTGCAAAAATAGAAAATGGCTGGTTTGGATGTGGGACTTTGGATTTCTGATGCCTTCTGCCATTTTTGTCGCATCAGAGATCCTCACCAATGAGACTCAAATATGGGTTGGTGGGTTTGATTGTAATTCTACACATTCAGTCTGAATTTTCAGGAAGTTAAAATCATGTTGCTAGCATCCAAGCATCCTGTGGCCATCTTATTTCTCTGACCTAAACAGGATTCTATTCATTTTGAAATGCATCTGCCAAATAGAAGCTGATTTTTAAGATTAGTAGCATGTTACTCAATGTTGTCATAGTCTTCCTTTTGTATTAACTACATCTCACTTTGATTCTGAATGCACCTTTGAAAGTTGTACTCTGAAATAACTGCACGAAGACCAGTATCCCATCTCTAAGTCCCCCTTTATTTACATGTACGTAGCACACTGGCTGTGGCCAACCAGATCAGAGTCAGTCCCTGGAGTGAGGAGATTCTGAATGTCCTGTTTATAATTTTTTTAAAAATTATTTAACCTATTTTCCTAATCAATCTGCTGAGATGTTATTACACACCTCTGGAGCAGGTGGGACTTGGACCCGGGTCTTTCAATTCAGGGGTAGGGACATTACCTCTGCCCCACAAGAGGGCTGCAGTATCTTGTTTATATCTGTTGACCAGGGATCCCTGATTGGCCCAGGCTAACAACACCAATCAAGGATGTCACAGTCAATAAGATCCACCTGGTTCCAAGCACTACATGCTCCCAGTTTTCAAAACCAAATAATGAGTATAAATTGAGGACAATAATGGCCCCAAAACCAATTTCTGTGGAACACTGTGTTTCATCTTTTGCCAGTCTTGAGTATCTGCTTCAAACGCTTACTGTCTTTATTTTTTGTAGCCAGTTTGCTATCCACTCAGCTTCCTGCTACCTGATTCTGAATGCTCTGTTTTTAAAAAAAAGTTGTAGATTGTCTCCATGTTGAAGGGCCTCACTCTGAATTACCTGCTTCTTTCAATCATGAAGGCCGTTGGTTGGCCCTGCAGTTTTTAATGATCTCTTGTTTGGATAGCAAGCCCACCCTTTGGTCATTAAGTGCCTGTCCTAGTGAAAACTGCAGTGAGTGACTGTGTGTTTTTCTCATGGTGTGAGCTCCCATTTCAGCCTGTTAGGGAGTTCAGAAGCCTAAAGGCAAAACCCTGTCCATTTTCTTTCCATCTTCTCTATCAAATCCTTAATCGTCAAAAACTTCTCCATTGGGTTACCATCCTTAATCTTTGTGTTGTCCAAGTAAGAGTTTATAATAGATCTAGTTATTCCAATATCCAAGAAGGATGTTACGCTCAAAGAGAACACAATGCAAGGAAATGGGAACACCAGCGTACCTCCCTTCAAAGTTGCACACCATCATGACTTGGAACTATATCACTCACTGTTCCTTCACTATTGATGGGTTAAAACCCTGAAACTTTGTTCCTAACAGCCTTATGGGTGCACCAGCACCATTATAGACTACAGCAGTTCATGAAAGTGTCTTACCGCCACCTTCTTGGTGGCACTTAGCGATGTGCAATTTATGCTGGTCTAGCTAGGAATGCCTGCATCCCATGAATAACTAAAAGGAAAGGATGCAAAGCTTCAAGACAAAGCATCAATTTTCTGACTAACACTTCCTTTGAGGATAGATACTGTTTGAGAGAAATAATTTGCTCTATATTTCACTTGACATCCTCAATGTAGAAGCAAACTGTAAGTGATTGTATTTACTGCAGATGCTAGTAATCATCTATGTAGTGTTTGCTACAATTCTAATCATTGTTTTTAAATATATTTTGACTCCATGTAGGCAATCCCAGACGAAGAATGCTGTTTATAGGAGCAGGCAGTCTTTGAACAGCCCAGGTCCAGGAGGAACCGAGATGGATCTACTTGTCAGGAGGGAGAGATCATGGCGGGGCATTCGCAACAGCGGATATGATGTGAGTAGATTGTGTTTTTTTTTGTGGACAGGTTCTATTTAGTTGTACCATTCTTTCACAATGAGTTTGACATGTTTTATTTGTTAAAGTATAAATATTGAGGGCTGTAATTGATCTGGACTCCAGATGATTAATGACACTCTGTAGAAAAAAAAAACAAAGTGTCTTTCAGACTTTTCTCTGTTTTTTTCCTCCTGTTCTGTAGAATCTACCATTGCTCCTTGTGTAGAAAGAGCACAAATGTTCTTTTTCATGTCTACCTTCCAAGCATTGTTGGTCATAAGTTATTATATGTGGCTGGACTTTGAAACATGGTAACTGGAGGAGGCCATTCAATCCCTCCAGCCTATTCTTCCATTAACTGATCTGTATCTTAACACCATCTTCCTGCATGGATTTCAATAACCTTAATACCTTTGACTAACCAAATTAAATCAAACTGATTTTTCAAATTTTCAATTGATTTCACCTTGCAGATATTATTAGATAAGGTTATTGAGGAAGGTGCGTAAATTCAGCTAAATAGAGTTGGAGTACAGACGTAATTGAATGGTAAAAGGATGAAGAGCTTGCTCCTGTTCCACAGAAATGTAGTCAACACTTATTCAATAGGTTGTCTTTATTGCTGTTGCTACCAATAGGTTGTGCAGCAACTGGCGCACTCAAGAATGACAGAATATCTAAGAAAGCTGTAACAGGAAATGTGGCTGGGGGTGGCAGTGAGTTGGGTGCAGGCAGTTACCAGTAGGTTGGCCAGGAATGGGCTGCTTAGAAGACCCTGCCTTCATGGTATGGTGTCTTCATCTCCATATGTGCTTGTACAGGTGGCTGGTGGCCATCTTGGCATTGTCAACACATGCTCTACTTCCACAACGATTTTTTTGTCAAGATTAGGAGTCAGATGACTCTGTTGAAAGGGGAAATGGAAATTCTCCTGCTATGTAGTCATATTGTGGGTGATCATAACAGAGACCTTTATGGGACATTGAAATAATTAACCTAGCTAATGAGTATATGATCACAAATTGGCCATGTTGCTGGGTTAGTAATCCAGAGGCTCGGACTAATGGTCAGGAGAAATGAGTTTGAATCCCACATTAGCTGTTAGAGAATTTTGATTTACCTTATTAAATACAGTTGTAATAAAAAGATAAGCTCAGTTATGATGATCAAGAAGCCATTCAAAGCCTTAAAAACATATCAGATGCCCTGTGGTGATGGAAATCTGCCATCCTGACCAGGTTAGTCCTCCCTGAACTTGATGCTGAACTACCATCAGAAATAGCCTAGAAAGCCATTCAGTTGTAAGAAACAGAAAAAGTAAATAAGAATAAAATTTGGTGAACCACTAAATGTCAACTGAAGAACTTAAACAAAAGTTACATTCGGTGCAGGTCATCCTGTAAATTTCCCTTCATAAACATCTAGGTCCATCTGCCAAGATGGAGACAACTAAAATTAGGAGCTTGAAAGATTCATGCTTATTGAACCATACTTAGGGAGAAATAAGGATGAGATCTGAAAATAGAATTTAGGGAACCAGGCTAGAAACTGTGAAACAGGACCTCCCAAGACAGTAATCTCAAGATTGTTCCCAGTACCATGTGCTAATGAATGTAGAAATCGGGTGATTGAGTGAATGAACATTTAGCTGGAAAAATGGTACGGGAAGGGAGGCTTTACAGGACCCTGGGACCAGCTCTGTGGCATCTGGGACTTGATGTGGAGGGTGGTACACCTTAGCAGGACTGAGATTGATATTCTTACGGGGAGATTTACTTGGACAGTGTTTAAAGTCGCTTGTCGGTAGATGGGAACCGAAGAGGACATTCAATAGAAAAGCTGTGAATGGAAAGCAACAGAAAAAAAAAATCCTCAAATCAACCAGGGTAAACTTACAGAATAATGTTGAAAAGGCAGATTAAAAGCTGTCTGCAAATGCTACATTCATTCAGATAACCTGACAGATTAATTGATGGTTCCAGTAGAAGTAAAAGGATATGATTTAATTGCCATTATGCAGATATGGCTGCAGTATGATTGACACTGGAAGCTGAATATTAAAGAATATTCAGTATTTGGAAAGGATAGGCAAAAGGGAATAGGAAGTGGGATAATGCTAATATAGGCACTGCTTCACTCAGAGGGTGGTGAACCTTCTGGAATTTTCTATGACAGAGACTGTTGAAGCTCAGTCACTAAGTAAGTTCAAGACACAGATTGATAGATTTCTAGATACTAATAACTTCAAGGGATACAGAGTAACATGGAATTAGTAACGTAGATGATCAGCCATGATCTAGAATGGCAGAGTAGACTCAGGAGACTGTAAGGTTATGGCATGGGGAAATCAGGCATAGGGGAATGGGTCTGGTTGGGATTATTTTTGGAGGGGCAGTGTGGACTTGTTGGGCCGAATGGGCTGTTTCCACACTGTAGGGATTCTGTGATTCTATGATTCTACATGGATTTCGGAAGCAATTCCATTATGGAATGTCAAGGCAAAGACAGTTATGGACGAGTTGCTTGCTTTCTTCACCCGTTATGGACTAACCAGGGAGATTCAGTCAGACCAAGGGTCCAATTTTACTGCCAAATTTTTTAAGGAGATCACAGATAATCCTGGGCGTACCATCCTGAATCGCGGGGAGCATTGGAAGGGTGGCATCAGACTCTAAAGACCATGTTGAAGGCTTATTGCCAGAATTACCCAAATGATCGGGATAAAGGTATCCCATTTGTATTATTTGCTATTAGAGATGCTCCAAATAAATCGACTTAATTTTCTCTATTTGAATTGATATTCGGACAAGTAGTAAGAGGGCCTTTAAAATTAATTAAGGAAAAGTTGAAAAGTAGGTTTGAAGTCAGAGATCTCACAGTTGGATTATGTACCTGAGGTGAGAGAAAGATTAAACAGAGTAGGTGAATTAGCTAGACAACATTTGAAGGTGGCACAGCACCTAATGAAGCAAGAAGCAGATAAGAAATCTAAAATTCGTATATTTGCTTGTGGGGATAAAGTATTAGTGCTGTTACCAGAGGTAGGAGATCCCTTCAAAGCAAAGTTTAATGATCCCTATCAGATTGAGAAGAAGTTAAGTCAGGTGAATTATCTGGTAAAGATGCTAGATAGGGGAAAAAAAATTATCAGAGTATGACGTGAACATGCTGAAACCTTACTATGACGGGGAAAGGAAACTGGAGAAACAGGTATTAGTTACTGCCGGTCGGAGGGAAGAATCAAATCCAGATGATTTGGATTTTGAGGTGCCTCAGAACGAATTAAATAATGAGGAAGTCCTTAAGGAATAGGATAGGGCAGTGAGCTATCTGTCCCAGGAACAGAGAACTGAATTGAAAGACTTGTTGCAGTGCTATGAGAACATATGTAGAAATAGAATGAGAAGGCCTAATGCTATATTACACGAGGTTGACATAGGAAAGGCTGTTCCAATAAAATAACACCCCTACAGGCTTAATCCTCTCCAAGCAGCACAAGTTCAGAAGGAAGTGGAAGTGATGCTACAAGAAGACATCATCGAGCCGAGTCAAAGCGAGTGAAGGTTGCTGATTGTGTTTGGTTCCCAAACTTGATGGCACTCAAGGATTCTGCGTAGATTATCAGAAGGTCAACACTGTGATCAAATCTGACTTGTACCCAATTCTGAGGCTAGAGAACTGTGTGAGAAAAGTATGACAAACCACTTACATCACAAAGTTGGACTTACTTCGCAGTTACTGGCAAGTACCTCTGTCAGAGAGAGCAAAAGAAGTTCCTGCTTTTGTAACCCCAAATGGGCTTTATCAATTGAAAGTAATGCCTTTTGGAATGAAAAATGCACCGGCCAGTTTTCAAAGGCTAATGAACAGAGTTTTTGCAGGATTGACTAATTGTGCTGTCTACATAGATGACTTAGTGATCTTTAGCCTTTCATGGAAGGATCACATGGAACATTGGGCAGAGCTCTTTGAGAGACAACGGAAGTCAAAGTTGGTCAGAAACAGAATTCGTGAAGGCGGAAGTGACATTCTTAGGCACAACTTCAGACACAGACGGATGACAATGAAGAACACGAAGACGAAGGCCATTGAGGAAATTCCAAGACCATCCTTGAAGAAGGAAGTGCTACGATTTTTAGGATTGAGCAGATTCTTCAGAAAATTTGTCCTAAACTTTAGTAGCGTAGAGGCTCCGATGACAGATTTGTTAAAAAAGAACACAAAATTTCAGTGGACAGAACAATGCCAGGAGGCATTTGAGAATTTAAAAGCCTAGTTCACCAGTATTACCCACGGCAAAATTTTTGAAACCCTTTAAAGTCGCCATCGATTCAAGTGATGTAGGTGTTGGAGCTGTGTCGTTACAGGAGGATGATTGTGGAAGTGAAAGGCCAATCGGTGGTTATTCAAAAAAACTCAATATCCACCAGAAAAAATATTCAACCATTGAAAAAGAGTTATTGAGTTTGGTAGTGGCCTTACAACATTTTAATGTTTACGTTGCAAACAATGCATCAGAGACGATTGGTCAGAGACTGATCACAATCCTTTGACATTTCTGGAAAGATACAAGGATGAGAACACCAGATTATTTCATTGGAGGCTGACCTCTTCTGAGAACTAAAGACGAAACACTGAAAGAGGAGCACCTTCCCTATAATCTGTAAAAGGAGTGTGAAAAGTGGTGTGACCTGCCTTTCAGCAACTTCAAGTGGTTAAATAAAATAAATCCCTGACGCACTCTTTAAAATCAACAAGTAACAATTTATTTATCTAACTCTAAGAGTGAACAAATTAACTAAACTATTAATAAACCGAATAAATCTCTTCTAACTACTAACCATTCCTGAATAAAACAAGGTTCTAATGGTATGCTGTTCTGATAAATACAAGCCCCACTTATATAACATAAAAGCAAACATAGAATTTAGTCTCTCGAAATTACAGCCAGGTTACTTGTCTTCTGGAAAGTTCTGTGCCTTCTCCGTCAAATGTTC